TTTAACTTCTCTACTAAACAAGCATTCAATGTCATGCTTGCCATAACAATATTAGGAGTAGTGCCCTACACTTATACCAAACTGATAGTCTCTAACCGATCTACTTCATAGCCCTATATTGTGTACTAATAGAGCCTCGAGCAAATCTAGACTCCCGCAGTCTTCTACTTGAATACTTGAGCCCTACCAACTACTCTTGAGCAACCCAATTGTGTCTTAATAGTTTTGGTTCTAATCCAACTCTAGTACCAAATATTAAGATTTGAGAATGGAAGAAGAGAGAGACTTCATTGAAAATATACTTTATTGCTCACTCGAATTATAATATTCCCAAACACTTGTATCTTCCATTTCTTTCTCCTACTAAAGCCACGCACACTTGCGCTTTCACTTGCAATCTACATGATACACTCTTTATGTTACCCAAGCTACAACATTTTAAGCCCATACTTCCCCTGCGTCATATTATAAGTTATTTTTAAATAAAATTTTTTGTATCAATAAAGTTCATTAAATACCTTTTTGGTCTTCTTCATAAATTATTTTTACCAACCTCATCAATATCAATGTAAAAAAAGTATAAGGAATGAAAATGTGTAGAATTTCAAATATATCTCACATAACAAATTCAAAGAGTGATGTCGTATTACTTTTTTCTTTTGTGAAGGGTAATTTTAAAATTTTTTTAAATATTATCTAAAAAGCTACACCATGACTTATAAATGAAACCAAATAAAATTTTAAAACGTAACTTATGAATGAGACTGGATGAGTACACTTTACAATTTTACCTTTTTAAGATAAAAATATAAACTTTAAAAAACGTTTTTCATATAATATTTCATTAATGAAAAATATTGAAGAGACAGGATATATAAGAAGAATAATATTAAAAAAATATCATTGATGAGAACTTATTTTTATTAAAATGTTTTATATTTTGGGATACCGAATCTTTCATAAAAGTTTCTTATAATTTAAAATAGAGAGAGTACTAATATCTTGATTTTAATTCTTCTGCAGCATTCGTTTACTGCTTTCGTGTTGCTTCAACAAGAAACATAACTTTCAGATTATTGTTGATTTATTTCACCGCCATCAGCCTATTTGTTTCTCTATTATTGTGGAATCATCCTTAATTAGTCAGTGCATTTTCTAACATGCTTAAAATATCAATTTATCCTGTATGTTTCAAATTAGTATCTCAGTTTACTTAACTTAGACATTTTACTGATGTAATTTACATTTGGAAGCAAATATATATTTAAGTAACTAAAACTTTAATTGGTGTACAAAAAGATGGCATCGAACGGGACAGTATTGCATAGATTACATGGAAAATTTTAATGGGAAAAAAACATATAAAAAATTTGGGATTTGCCTTACAAACATCTCTCCCACAATGTTTTTTTATTTATTTTAATAACTTATAGATTACTTTTCCCTTGTGAGAAAAAACAACTAAATGGTCACAGCGGGCACATGAGTGCATTACTGCATTCCCCACAAATGCCCTTTTGTCTGTCGAGTATTAGCGGGAAAGGGGAAAGGAGAAAGGGGGAAACTTCTGGGAAGCTGCCTTCCTCCTTCCCACTCTGTTTGGTAGCTTTGTGTTGTTCCTACAAGTTGTACTTTTTTATTTCTTGGCCACCACTCACTCATTTCTGACTTGAAGATCCTTCCCCATTCGTCTCATCGTACCAAACATGGCACCTATCCAACTTCATCATCTCAACTCATTTTAGTTTCGAGCATTTCTTGAAACCAATAAGCTTTCTCACCCCTAATTTCATGGGTTGATCAATCTAAAAGAACGAAATAAATCACGCTGTCCGTTGCACAAGCCTTTGCTCCCCACGTAATGTTGGGCCAAAAAAGTAACTGAACAGAGATATCATAGTCCATTCGCAAGACATGCATAATTAAGAAAATCACTCCTTTTTTTTTTTGTCTTTTGTGATCAATATATATTTTTTTAAGGATGATATTTAAATCCCAACAAATTATATTAATTGTCATTATGTTTTCTGCCAAATTTTTTAAAAAATAAATTAAAAACATTCATTTTACCAACTAAAGTTGAGGAGTCTTACTAACAAAAGATTGTATTAGTTATAATTACCGTTGCAAATTGAGGAGTTTTATCAACTAAAGTTGATTTGAGTAGTAAGGGTTAAGGTCAGTAATTTGAGCCAACTTTAATAAGCCATCAAAGTTTTTTTAAGATAAAAATTAAAATTAGCTAAAATAATTAATAATTAGAATATTCAAATAATTTAAATAAACTCAAAAGTCTAAGATGTTAAAATTGAGCTTAATTATATTATTTTTTTATATGTTCAGGTTTTTTAAACCCAAATCGATTAAACATGACTCTCTTGAATTTTTTTATTATGAGCTTTTGTCACTTAAACAAATTATTGAGAATTTGAATCACTGTACCTATATATGTAATACATTGGTTGAGAAATGTCTGTCATCTGCCCTTGGTATCTCGGTGGAGGTATTCTCAGCTGTCAATGAAATTTACTCCCTATACCTACTAAAAAACTTGAGGAGTTTTAATTGTGAATAAAGTATTCGAGTTTTGAACATAACTTTCAAATTATAATCGATATTTTTATGTTCAATTATTTAAATTAATATTTATAATAAAATTTTTTTAGGGAAATAATTTAACTATCGTGTTTTTCAGGAACAAAAAATTTTGATCCAGCGTTAACAGCTGTGCCCTTCATAAATATGATCCCAACTATTTATCTTTTTCACGATTTTTCTTGTCATTTCAATGGACGTGTCTTAATGCTTTATTTGCAGACTTTTTTTTTATTAATATAATTGCCTTTTTACCGAGAAAAAAGTTGGTCCAAGAAAAGAGACGGCGTGAGGCGGGAGCTAAGATAACATAGAGTCTTCCTGTTGGGGTCAAGGGGGTGATAGAGGGAGGCACGATACCAGTGAACTGGGCCGAAGTGTTATACAACGAGGGAGAGTTATGGAACAGTAAGAGGGCCCAAAATGAGCGGATAAGTAGAAGCGGAAGGATGGATTTGGAATGCAAGTAGGCAGGAAAGGAACAGTGACATGGCAACATATGATTGTGGATTGACACTTGAGCGTCCTCTGCAGTCACCTCTCCCAGTTGCTGCATTTGCATGTACCTTTTCCAGACAATGAGAAGCCATTCGCTCTCCACCACTATCCCTCCATCGCTCCACCCCGACTTGTCCACGTGAATTGAATTTCAAAAACTCACCCATATGAGAACATGCCTTTAGGCTTGAAGCTCAAAAGGTGTTTATGGAGGTAGTTATATATTGCTCACCAACAAGATTCTCAAATCGGTGGAATCTCATTTCACAAACTTGTGGATTATAAGCCAAACTTTTTGGCACATTACGCTTGGGCGAAGACCCTGGGTCTTTCCCATTTCGGTCGCAGAATTCGACATGTCGGCCTGCTTTCAGCAGCAAATCCGATTCTCCCTGTCTGGGCCAAACGGTAAGTCTGATTCGTAACTAACAAGGCTTGAAAGGGAAATCACTCTGTGGGCCCATAATCCACCAAACATGTCTATCCCTTTATCCTGACTTGTTCCAATTGAATTTATGCGCCAAGTATTTCGTCTTGGAGACACATCATGTTTCCTCCTCTGCCTTCTAATCATTTAATGTAATTATTTTTTAAAAAAATCGGCCACATGAATAGTAGATATATATGTAAACTCTATCTAATTCGATTCTGAAAAGCTGTATAAAATTTAGTAAAAAAAAAAAAAGCATACCATTCAGTGTGTGAAAACAATCCATCCCAAATACAGTTTTATTGTGCCTTATCCGGATTTGAAATATAGGGATCCCGCACCAACCACTTATTTCCTTCATTTTTCAGCCCTAGTCGTCCGCACTCCGTTGCCCATGCTTGAGAAATTCATGCATGCACGATTACATTATTCATAATTTACCCAATAAAATTATATCAATTTAATCAAATTAACTATTGTGCATCATTATTTTTAGTAATTTTATTTTTACAACAGAATTTTAATTTAATTTCTTACATTCTCTCTTTATAATATTATTAATAACAAAATCAATTTATATTTAATATTATTCTAATATCATGTTTTTACTGGATGAAAATAAGATTTTTTTTCCAATTTTCCCTTGCTCTGTCCCCGTTACAATTTTTCCACTCCACTTCTTTACCTTTTACAGAAATTATATTTTTCCTGACATTATTTTATTTTTACTGCATGGAAGGTGGATAATGAAAATGAACAGGGATATTGTGGTATAAATGATAAGACTTCTCGCCGATTTTATTTAGATTATATATATAATCATCTTTTAAAAACAAATTTTGACGGGAGCAATAAAGTAAATCACATGCCAAGCTTACAGGAAAAAAAAAAAGACAAGTAATTTTATAAAACAAGTAATTGAAATAGGATTTGGCATGGAGGTAGAGATGGATAGTCCGGGCAAACTTAAAAAAAAAAAAACATGTAATTTTAAACCATTAATAATAATGTTCAAACAATAATGTTAATTATTCGAAAGATGCAAATGAGCAAATTGGGGGAAGAAAACTTTGGATAATGGTCCATTTTGAAATCGAAAGACGATGTAGATTAGATTCACAAAGTGCAGACTGGATAAGAATGAAGAAATAAAGAGAAACAAAATTGGACCCATCCACGAATATCAAATAAATTTCTTTAATGACGGCATATAATATATAAATCGATCGAATCCAATCAGAACAACCTTATTTTTGCACGATAAATTAAAAAGTAAAAGTTTCATTTCAGGTACGTTTTTTTTGTTTTTTTTGGTTCTTCCTTTAGCATTGAATCTCAAATCTGCGTCAATTTCTCTTTAATGCGATAACGTTAACACGAGAAAATGAATGGATGTATTGTCAATCGGATCGTACAGATACGATTCCGCACGCTTTTACTGTTGACGATCTAGAAAATCTTTCCGTAATGAATATGATTAGTCTCTATTAATTACACACGCGGGGTCCTCTTATTCTCTCTTTCTCTCCCTCATTGGAAAGTGTCAGGCCGCAATCCAATTGCACAAGGGAAGCGGGAAACCATATGGATAGAGTGTTTTCCGTGGAGGACATTTCTGAACAGTTTTGGTCGCCTCCGGTACCCGCCGTAAAGGATGAATACTCCTCTGGAATGAATCGCAGTGCTTCCGAGTGGGCTTTCCAACGATTTCTCCAGGAAGCTTCTGCAGCTTCCGACGCTTCTCACCCTTTTGCTTCATCCAATCCTGACAAAAACGAAGACCGTGGACATAAAATCGAGGGAAAGCACAAACCCAAACAGGACCTCACCGCGCCATCCATTCCCAAGAATGCTGGTGTCTTCTCCAATGCACCTTCTCCAAGCATTCCTGCTGATTCCGAGCATTACCAAGCTATTCTCAAGAGCAAACTCAATCTCGCTTGTGCAGCCGTCGCCTTGACTCGGGTACTTCTTTCCTTCTATTGTTATATAATTTATATTGCGGAGAAACTTAACAAGCATAATAAAAATATTTGCGGCGGATAACAAATGATTTGGTGGTTTCTGTATTGTATATCGCGTTTTTGTGCCTCTCAGTTTTTCTGGTTAACTGGAGGCTAGTCCGGGTCCTGCGAAAGATCCCACACTCGAAGGAAAAGTTTCTTTTGCTAAAAAAAAAAAAATTATAAAATGGCCGGATAAACCTGATTTTTAGCGTAGTCGGCGATATGATCCACTTTTTGGCTTTTAGGATGCCACGTAATAGAAATTTGAGATTCAGAATCGCGTGTTTTTTCTCGTTTCTTAAGGCCCCTGCTCTTATTGATTTCCGTAGCTCGTTGAGATTCAGATCAAAACGAACAGTACAGAACTGGGAAAATAAAGTGAAGTGTACAGTTATACAACTTTAGCTCTGATATCATTTGCTGTTATGTTTTGGACCCAAATCATTGAAAGGTTACGGTTTTTATGGAAGTTAGCCAACTTAAAAAGCAAATGGAGACTACAGTACCTTGGACGGGCAATATAAATTTTGCTGGAAAAAGCAAAGTTGGCTCCATTTGGACGGTTGCTCTTGAAGTCAGCTGTCCCTCGGACTAACGGACTTCCAGGAGCGCAAGTTTAAAGATTTTTATTGACATATCGACTCGTATTTCCCCTCCTATGCTGGGAGATTTAGATTGTAGTTTTTTTAAAGTTGTTAGTTGTCAAGCTACTACCAAGGCTGAGTTTTGGAAGAATTTTACTTTTTAATGATTTTATGTTTGCTTAAGTATACAGTCTCTCTTTTTCTGCGGTATTCTGTGTAGTTTCTGTTGTTTTTATAGTATGCTGTATAGCGTTAATCGCGTTGTATTTTTCTGCATGGCTGTATTAACGCTTATCTTTCTACTTATTCTCTCACGTTCTTCTCTCCATGTCTTGTCAACTCTCAGTATATATGCTTGCAAATTGCAATTATTTTTGGCCTACTGGACTAATTCTACTCTCTGAAATTGGCCGTAACTTCATGTATATTCAGCTCCAATGTTTTTCTTAATTTTTAAGATGCGTAACTTTAAAAGTTTTACATGGTCTAAAAAAGGTTACTGTTCCCCCATTCCATAGTGAGTGTGTAAAACCTTTTGGAATTTAGCTGTATCTTATGCTTTTTTCTACTCATGACAATAGGGTTCTTTAGCCAAATCCCAAGATCCAGCCACTTTACCTAATGGCGTATCTAAGGCTAACAAAACTCCTCAAGACGGATCTCCTGCTACATTAGAAGGTTTGAATCTCTAATGCTTGTAGATATGTCTATGAAAGTTAGTAAGAATGTGGATAAGTATTGTGTATGAAGAATATACGTTAAACAAGATGGATGGCATTTATTTGTATATCGCGTGTTAAGAAGCTTGTTGCGTGTTATACTTAGTGAATTATGTCAATTATATCTTCTCTTGTGTATGACCTTGTAGGACATGGTCCATCTAACATACATGATAAAGATGCGAAAGGACCAGTTGGAATTCCTTCATTACCTGCCGTTCAAAAGAAATTGGCAGTTGCAACCAAGCCAACAACCAGTGGATCATCGAGGGATCAGTCTGATGATGAGGAAGCTGAAGGAGAGATTGATATGACTGAAAATATGGATCCTGCAGATGCAAAACGAGTAAGGAGGTACATTAATCTTGGCTGCATACTACGAGGTTGTTTCTGGCAATATTTAAACTTGAGTGTATATACTCTCATGAACCAATTATAATATGAATATTTTCCTTGTGAATGGCTTGTGTATGAATTAGAATTGTTTTAACATCATAGATCGATGGACTTCCCTTCTGAATAAACAATGTGATGGCCCTGCCAGACAGAAATTGTGTCTAGTGTATCCAACATTTCGGAGCTGAATAACTTCTCATGTTACTGATAAAGCTGCATGAATTTATAAAAAAGAACATATAAAATAGGTTATCGAACAGTTATTCATTCAATTAGGGAGGAATTGTGCTATGTGATCAATTATTTTATGCCTGATGACATCGGTGATACAGGATGCTTTCCAATAGAGAGTCAGCCAGACGCTCGAGAAGAAGAAAGCAGGCTCATTTAACAGAGCTTGAAACACAGGTTGTAGCTTCTCTTTTAGGCTTCCTTTCTCTAGCTCTCGCCCCATGTGCGCTTCTTTCCAATTGAGTCATCTCTATTTTCTGACCTAATTTTGCACCTTAGGTTGCTCAATTAAAAGCAGAAAATTCATCATTGTTAAATCGTCTTGCTGATGTCAGCCAGAAGTACAATGAAGCTGCTGTTGACAACAGAGTCTTAAAAGCTGACGTCGAAACATTAAGAGCAAAGGTAAGACCGTAAGAGGCACGCAAGCGTTCTTTCAGTTAAATTCGTTTTGGGATCAAGAAAATCCTCACGTAGCAAACATGCTGACTCTTGCTCAAATGTTGCTGTCTCTCATTTGGCTGGCAAGCTGAATCAATGTCAGAAAGCTAGATACATATCTGATTTATATTGGATGTCATATCATATTCAGGTGAAGATGGCCGAAGAGACTGTCAAAAGAATAACTGGGTTAAACCCAATGTTCAATGCCATGTCTGAGATATCATCGATGGGCATGCCATTATTTGATGGTAGCGCCTCTGACGCATCAGATGCAGCTGTACCTGTGCAAGATGACCCAAATCATAACTTCTATCAACGCACTTCGATCAATTCTTTGTCTGGGCCTGATATAAAGGTCAACAATGGACTGATAGATATATCTTCCATAGAAAATGTGCAGCAGAACCCCACGGCAATGGGAAATGGAAACAAGAAGGGGCGAACAGCTTCCCTGCAGCGGGTGGCTAGCTTGGAACATCTTCAGAAGCGTATCCGTGGTGATGCAGATTCTTGTAGTCCGCCCAGCAATGGGGAGCAGTAATAGCAAAGACAGCCATGAAAACAAGGATGGCTAAAGAAATTCTGAAACATTTATTTTCGTTGTAAATGCTGGCCTATTCATCTTGACTATATCGTAAATCCATTTGTTGTGCTCAATAAACTTGTAAATTATGGCCTATTCATCTAAACTTGTAGCCTACCAAACTCTAAAGCGGCCTACGGAACTTGTCAATTGGTTATCTTGGTTGCTATATCTTAGCCTCGCATATTTAAACGGAATAAACAGTATCCCACAATTTCAAATTTTATGAATTCCTGGTTCGTTATGAGTATTCAAAATCTTCTACAAAGCATTCAAGTTGGTTGTTCGAATTGAACTATAACTAGCTTTATTTATAATCCCCTTGACTTTCATCTCATTTCTTACTGTTTCGACATCAATCTACCATTTCGCAGAAGCATATAAATTGGACATGGCAACATAATCCTCGCTCCTAGGAGCCAAGTCATCACAGTTTTGCTCTTGAAGTTGCAAGAGAAGCTTCCCCACCTTCTCGCCTATTGCAGTGTCCCCATGAATGTTGCACGCACCAAGGAAAACTCCTCCATAGCACAGCAGTTGGGCGAACTGGCATTCCCATGATAAAATATAAGCTTCTTTTTATCATCTGCCTTGACCAAGAAGATCGACAATACAACTATAATGTTGCATATTTGGCGTCACCCTAAGCTTTTCGTTCATAGCACAGAACAAGCCACGGCCTTCTTGAACGAGCCCAGCATGACAAGAGGTAGAAAACAAGCTCAAAAAGATTGCTGCATTTGGCTTTATTCCATTCATTAGCGCCCCCCCCCCCCCCCCCAAAATTTTCACATCAAAGCGCTAAGGCTTGTTCTCCTTTCTCGTGGATAGAAAGGACAGCAATTATCGCCATCCAAGTCAAGACATTATTCTGATTCATCCGCCTAAGAATTGAGAAATCACTTTCGAGACACCCACACTTGCAGTACATATCAACAAGCCCAGTGCCAATATGCACATCATCTTCGAGGACACATCGTTTTCTCTGCAAACGCATGCAGGGAAGCAACTGTTGCTAGCATAACTAGTTGAGAATCTACCGAAAGGACACAAACCACGGTAGCATCCGTGGTCATAACCCCACTCTCATCCATCAACATGTCCAGCATATTGTTTGTCCTGCCCTTTAGGAAGAATAACCGGTCATCATTGCATTCCACGTGACACTGCTTTCTTACATTTCAAAGAATACCCTTCGATACGACGTCTCTATTGCCCGTGTAAAAATGTATCCCCGTAGTTGGAACCATTATATTTGAGGTAACTCCGTGTTTTACAATGTGGGCTTTAAGTTGTGTGCCTAGCAATAACGTTTAAGCTGAAGGAAAGCGAGCTCAAGCTCCGAGAATAAAAAATGGAAGTTTAATCATCGAAAACCATGTCTCCCTTGGAAAACGCACTTCGCAAAACAAGGATAGAATCCTCGGGTTGACAACATCTTACCAAGGTATTAAAGAGAAAGAAGTCGTCTAATCTGCGTACTCTAACACCAAATGCACATGATTGGCAATTTCGTCAAAGATGGTAGATGTTGGAGGTTCGAATTGGGAAGGTTTTAAAAAACTCTCGTGAGGGTAGTGTGAGGAATAACGACTGTATCACCAGTGAAAAAGCCGGCAATCATGTGATGACATGTGTGTTGTCTAGTGTTGGGAAAAGACCCTGGAGAGGCAGTGATGACTCAGAGGGCTGTTACATTTCAACATTTGTCTACTCCAAAAAAAAAATGCTCTTGAAAAAATTAATATAAAAATAAAATAAATTATTAACTTTTATAAAAATTATTGATATATATATTAAAAATTTAAAAAATATTGTATCTTTTAAAAATTTTAAAAATTATAATTTTTAATTTTATAAATTAAATTATCTACGTGGTTTGTTATTCTTTTTGATTGATTATCTCATATTTATTTTTATTTTTCAATTTATTTAATTTTATTTATTTTTAGTAATCAAATGGAACTTAATTTTATATTATTTGCATATATTTTAATATCCCTATTTCTAATTATGATAATTATTTTTAAAAAGGGAAAAAGGTTCTAAGATAGGGAGAATTTTGATGTCATTAAATGATTTAATCCTAATAAATTGACACTAATATTAAGAAATTAACATTATTATTGTGTTTTTGGCAAAATATTATAATTGTTTTTAATGAAAATAAATATTCAGTTTTTAGTGTGCGCGTGTATTTAGATATACGCACTATGAAGATCAAAATATTGGCTATACAGCATGCGATTGGTTTCAGTGCTAATCATGTGCTTGATTGGTTTCACTGCTCATCAGGTACTCATCTGATGAGCAATCTAAATAGTCTAAATTTTTAATTTTTATTTTATATTTATTAAAATATAAAACATAAAATTTTAATAATTTATCTTATTATTAATATGAATAATAAGGGAGTATATTTTAATAGTTAATTTATAAAAATTAAAAAAATAATATTAAATTAAATTATTTAAATTAAATATACTCCTCTAATTCATTTTATTGATTATCTTTAAAAAAATGATGTGGTTTACTTTATAAATTATTGAATTGATAATAATGTTTTATTTCAAATGAAATGTTTAAATTATTTTTAAAAAGTAAGAAAAATAAAAAAATATTATATAATTTATTTACTTTTTAAGAGTTATATTTATAATTTTATTAAATTTTATTTTTTATATTTTTATTATATTATTATTAATAAAATTAATAAAAATAATTTATAAATAAGAAGGAGAAAAGTAGATGATAACAATTAATATTTTATAATTTTCTGTAATAAAAATAAAAATTATAAATCTGCACTTCCAGATTTTTCGAAGTGACTGAGGATCAAAGCCAGACTTCAGACGGCATAGGAGTATTTGGACGAATGAAAAAGAAAAAAGAAAATATCAGACATAGAACCCTGGTCCACGTTATCTAATCACCCGAGCCGTCGCGCATACCCAAGAAGTCCTAATTTCCACCGGAATCTGCATCAGAGCACAGGCAACGAAGGCATTTCTGAAAGATCTCAAACAAACAAACGATGGAGATTTCGTCTTCTCTTACCCTCTCCCTTTCTTCTTTAATTCGAAGAACCCCCGTACATCTTCCTCACTCCTCCTTCTTGGTCACGAGCTCTACCTCGACATTCTTAAAGAAAGCAAGGATTGGTGTTGGTTACCCTTCCGTACGGGAACGAATCAGAAGCAGAACCAATCGACCTAACAGGGGTCTCACTTGCAACGCCTTGTTCGGTTTGGGTGTACCCGAGCTCCTTGTCATTGCTGGAGTGGCTGCTCTGGTTTTCGGACCCAAGAAGTTGCCAGAAGTGGGTCGGAGTATTGGCAAAACTGTTAAGAGCTTCCAGCAGGTTCCTATACTCATCTGACACATCTGTATTTATAAATTATCTACTTCTTTTTTTTTTTCCTTTTTTCGATCAAGTTAATCTATTGTCCTTGCGCTGGAATTCTCTGATAATTATGATATTAGTAAGGATTTTTTAACTCGTGTTTTTCAGCACTTCAACTAGAATTCAAAGAGATTAAGAAAAAAAAAATGAATTCAATCTAGTCCTCCTCTATGTAGGCTTACGTATAGCATCAATCCAAGGTTGAATCAGCGGAACCTTTCGGTTTCTTTCGGAAAAGTTTTGATAATGTATATCGCTTACAATTTTTGTCCCTTGTTAGAGTAGGCCTTCATTGGAAGCCTCTAAGCTTCGTGCACAGCCTTCTTTACCTAAACCACTGATTATTGATTTATTCGAGTGTGGAAGATCTTGCTTTAGTTTCACTAGATTCCTGGACGCGGCATGCCATTTGGGGTATTTAGTATTTATGACTGATATGAGGCAGTGATATTTGAAATATCCCTGATATCCAGGTAGACTTTAGTATTTGATCCCAGTGTTATCAGAATCGGACTGGACCGGCCGGTCCAACCGGTTCAACCGGGAACCGATCCCAAGTCCGATCCGGTCATCACAAAAAACAAATTTCAAGAATCGGTCAAAAACCAGCATAACGGCCGTGAACTGGTAAAAAACCGACCAAGAACCGGTTATATTATTTTTAAATTTTTTATTTTTAATTCATATTTTAAAATTATAATTTATACATATTTATGCCTAATAAGCATTATGAAATAAAAAAAATGTATGAAATATGTATAAATTATGTATATGTGTATATATTTTAAAGTTATAAATTATGAATTATGAAACACTTGTATATGTTTTGGATGAAAATAATGTAATATTGATGGATGTTATATTTTTTATTGTATATTATTTTGTTTGAAATTTAAACATTCATTTTTGTTACTATATATGATTATTTCTTTCTATTTTAAATATATAATATTTTAAATATATTAATTTATTTATGACCGGTTGGACCACAGTTCAAACTGCGGTCCGACCATTGAACCGTGAACCAGTACCTCAACCGGTTCAATAGCCGGTCCGATTTTCATAACATTGTTTGATCCCTCTCTTCCATGATGGATAGGGAGTGCATGCGTATTTATAATTACATGCACTGACATTACTTGCATTTGTGCAGATTGAGGTTTATGCTTACGCTAAAATGTGAGGAAAGACCTTGAGATGTGCTGCACTAGTCATGAATTAATATTGTGTCTTGCTATAAATTTTATATTGTATGTTGATATTGATATATTCATGACTTAAGGAGAGTGGTTCTCACATGAATCTTTTGATAAGAAATTAATCAAGCTATTTGTGAAGGACTTATTTTAGTTTGTTTTGATTGAGATGTGATTAGTTTTAGCCGCATCTGCATCTTAGGTGTTTAATGGCTAGTTAAAAATGTAGACTCGCTGTTAGGAATTCTTCGTGAGTCTTTCTTAGACAAGAAGCTCCATTTCCCTTGTAATAAAGAGGACATAGCAAATTGTCACGATCTATGATTTTTCATGAGGTTAAGGTGGTCTGAAATGCTCTAGAACCCTCCAAAAGGCTCTCAAGTAACCTTAAGAGAATTATAGAGTGCAAAAACGTTCTAAAGAAATCTACACAATCTAGCCTCAATATTTTAATAGTCTCTAGATATTTTCATGTAAATATCTAGATAGATATTTATTGTAAATATCTAAGAGAGAATTCTAGATAATCAATTGTAGCTGTAGGATCAATTCAATCTCCACTCTACTAAGGAGGTGAGAATTTTTTAGAGGAGAGGCCTATAAACACTACCTTCCACCTCATTTATAAACTATCTTTGAGTTCTCAAGCAATACAACTTTTACATTTCTCAAAGCTCTTTCAACTATTCTTTGCTCTCAAGCTTTCCCTTTCCTCAGTTTAGCAAAGCATCCTCCTTTTTAATAAATCAGGTTTACTTAACATTTTCTAGTGAAGAGCGTCTAATTGCTGCACGGGTCGAACTAGCCCTGTGACAAAATGCTTTAAATATCAGGTGGTGCTGTTTCGTGTACTTTTGCAACACTTAACTCTCGTCACAACTCTTTATGTTCGTTGAGTATTCACGTTGCTTGCTTATGTTTGCTTTTATGAAATAAGAATGAAATCATAGGAAATAATTTGTTAAAGACAAGAAAGTCTTGATAGCCTGAGTTAGAAGGGGAAGGCAGGAGTATTTGTGCATTGCTTCAAGGCTTGATATAATCATTTGCTTCGAACAAGTTGGAATTGTGAAATTTAAGCTGCCATTGAGGAAAGTTGGTGGAATCTGAAGGGGCTTATGAGCCCAGTCATGGGTGGCACTCCAAATTTAACTTAAAACCTTGAGCTTTGCTGTGCTAACTTAAGGATAAATGTTAAATAAGTAAAAATTGGGTAAGAAATGGAAGAGGCAGAAGAGGTTCCAGACTATGCAAGATTATCTTCTAAGAACATGTCCCGTGGGGCTCTTTTTTGTACTGTTTTCAAGTTTAGCTTGTCTTTTCTTACTTCTGATTTCTGATATCAATCCCACAGTCACCATGCTTGGCGCCAAGAACGTTGAGGGTTAAATCGTTACTCTAAGCATTCATTAGTCACTATGCATTAGGATAATTATGGAGGATTACTAAGAATTTGAAGATTGCAATCTACTAACTGTTGGGTTTTCTACACATTGCTGTTAAGGTTTCTATTGTATTGTAAATCTCGCAGGCAGCAAAAGAGTTTGAGTCTGAGATTAAAAAGGAACCTGATTCCATAGAAGAGGCCCCTGCTGAGAAACCCACTGCTGTCAGCGAACAGGAGAAGCCAGACATCAAAGTCTCTAGTTCAAAGGAGAGTGTATGAAATTTGTAGATTTGTCAAATAGGGATAGTCTAGCAAAATTTGACCGTCGCGCAGTCCATTGAAGGAAATTATTCTACCGTATTATCGAAATTTTCTTCGGAAACTACAGATATGTTCCTTGTAATTGTCTGCTCTGTTCACTGTCATATATAACCCTTCTTGAGTTCTGCAGGCCGATGTCGTGGTAGCTTTTGACGACTGTCCAGATGAGAAAGTAGGGGAAGGCTGGTGAGGTGGAAGAAAAGTGAATGTTATTTAAACCTTTGATCGATATTTAATTAATCGCCGTAAGTCGCTTATCAGTTGCCGCTTAATTTTTCTGGTAAATACGAGTAGAAATCAGACTTATAACGGAGCACTAGAGTTAGATATTGGAGAGCAATAAACATAGGATAACAGGTCGTGTTTGACAACAGCCACAGCCACGGCGTTCCTTTGCTGGCGCACAAAATTGGGGTGTACCGGTTGATTGATTCAATTTTTTTCTTTTTAAACAGTGCCAGGAGTTTACATTTGGGAAAATTGCAAAATATATATAGTGTGTGTGTGAGTATATATATATATATATATATCTCCTCTCCAAAGATGGGAATAACAATTTTAACAATTGTGAATGTGATAATTATTATGTAATCTCTATAAACTTGATGGCATTTTGATTTTTAATGAAATGGTATATTTGTTTTATTAACTATTAAATGATTTGGTTGGGTTAATTAAAAAAATAGAAAATGTTTTTTTGTTAAATTTGTTTATCAATCAAGTGCGTTTATAGTGGTCACTAAAAAATAAAAGAAAATAGTCATGTTTTAACCCATTGATAAATTGTAAATTTGCAGGAAAGAAGTAGTAATTTTTTATTAAAAAAATTATATATAGGTTTATGGAGCAAATTTATTTACTAATAAATTTTGTAAAATTTGAAAACTACAATCAAATTCTTTAAGATCTGAGTGTAATTTAAAATTATGTTGTAAAGATAATATCTCTATTAAATATATATTATATCAATTAAATAATTAATTTATAACTACTTCATCAGTAATTTACAACTATAAGTTTAATTTAATTTTTTAAAACTATACCTTAACATATTTAATAGTTAAACAATTATGTGTTATTAACAAAATTTAATATTAATTATTTATAATTATTTCATCAGTTAAACTGATTAGTTTAATTATTGAATATATGACGTTAGAAGTATAAAAAGTTAAAGTTATAGTCGTAAATTATTTATAAAGTAGTTATAAATTGTTTGATTGATGTAATGTATATTTGTTTGATAGGGTCATTATTGTCTTTTTATCTTAATTTTAAATTACACTTAGATCTTGTAGTTGTGGTTTTTGAATTTCTTAAGATTTATTTATAAATAAGTTTGTTCCAAAAGTTTTATATGTAATTTTTCTTTTTATTGTGTTTTAATCAATGACCCAACTAAAATGGGCATTTCCTAACATATAACTTTAACATCTTGATTATTAATTAGAGCTAAATTAATAAATAATTAGGATTTTGAATGACAATTTAATATTTTGACTCTTTAATTATATGCGCTGCGGTGCATAACACATAAAAGTGATTAACAAGGATGTGAAAGCTCGTGGGTTCTGAAGGAAAAGGGAGAGAAATCATGACAAAGGAGAGAAGAGGGAGGAGCAGCTAGGGCAAGCGATTTTGAAGCCTTGGGAGACATTTCTGACTAATATCTTATAGGGTAAGTTTTGTATTGCCTTTAGTTTCGATTTTATACTAATTTCTTTTAGTATAAGTTATAGAGAAATTGAATTGAAAAGTTTTGAGGGATTTGTTTCTTACTTTTTAGTAATGAAAATGTTCTCAAAAATCAAATTAAAGTTTTTGACTAGTTTAAAGTTAAACAATAAAGCTTTGAGATTATAAGCTTAAATAGACTTTAAAACTATAAGAAAAAGGAATGAAAATTGGAGTAAAGTGTGATGGGATTGGTTGAAGTGATAGAAAAAGGTGACTAGATTACAATAAATCTAAATTGACCCAGAGAAAGGAAATGAATAGCTAGGTGTGGTTTTAAATGATAATTAATAGTTATGATCAATTTGGTTAATTGACTAATAATGTTAATTGTGTGTAAATTGTTGTATTGCGAGAGTGCTTTGAGAAAAGGAAGCGAATAGGGACATCAATTGTTATGAAAATCTATAGGTAATCCTTTCTTGTGACAGAAGAGTTGAAATAGCTAAATAACTACCTCTATTTGATTATCTATTATAATTATTTGTAAGTATTATAGTTATTACATAAAATTACTTTGGATTGTGCATGTTTAAAGAAAACAAATGTTTATTGCATGTAAAGGTTTTCAAAGAATGGAGTTTTGTAATATAACTCTCTCTCTCTCTGTGTGTCTCTGTGTGTGTACTGAGAAGTCTATATGGCATTATTTTTCTTAATGTCCAATGGGATAAGGTGTTGGACAATGTTATTTCCTTAGTACTTATTTAAGGTGTGGTATTGGAAATTATCTTCTTAGTGCCCATGTGGGGTGTAGTGTTAGAGATCAAAGCTCCTTAACGTATGTGAGATGTGGTGTTGGAGAAAGAACGTCCTAATCATTGTGCGTGATAGGGGAAACCATGGTTCCAAAGTAGGACAAAACACCTTTGGCTAGGTGATTCCACCACTAAAGATGCATTTAGGTTAATGAGTGTGTATTCGCATAATAAGAGTCTATGGTTTTGATTGAGGTAATACGGAGGGTCGGATAGCAATTGATTATGCTAATGGTGATTGTTTTTTAAGTGAAAGTGATTTTATAAAGTGAAATTATATTATTTGGTTTTACTTAATATGTATAAGCAATACTTGTTTATAGTTATTTATGATAGTTGATAGTAGCAAGTTATTCTGTTACTGAAATTATATTGTGATTACATTTTGTACAATCAGAGTAGTGAGTTGGGCAAAGGGAAGGACATAAGATCGGTATAGTAGTGCTATTACCATGCGGCTAGGGGTGTTCACAGGACAGGACACAAGACAGGCGGGATAGGATCAAGACACCCTTGTCTTATGTCCCGTCCTAAAATAAAGAGGATTAAATTTTTATCCTGTGTTTTGTCCTATCCCGAAAGTCGTCTTGTCCTGTTTGGAATTAAAACAAGATCGAGACATCCTAGTGTTCGGATAAATCAAACAATATCAAAGAAAGATCTAAATAATAACATTTATTAAAATTTTTAATCATATAATTTATTGATTTTAAAATCAAAACAACATAAATACATAAATTATAACAATTTAAAGTTAATTTTTGAATTATATTAATTACAATTACACATTATAATAGCAATTATAAGTGATTTCTTGGCTATAAGAGTAGAAATAACAGGCAAGTCAAGCACAATATTAAATCATTATTCTTCTACTTTATTTGAAATGTGCTAAACTAATTACTCTTTCAAAACTAAAACAAGAAATACAATATAAATAAAAGTTATTAAACAAATAGATATAATAAATTATATTAATATAATTAATATATTATGAAAAAAATGTCCTCTTGTTTACTCTGTGTTATTAAAATTATCAATATAAATAAGAATTGTAAGTATTGAAATTATAATTAATATAATTAATATGATATAAATTATATTAATATAATTAATATATTTAATGTATATTTTTAAAGTAAAAAATAATATAATATTTGGGACGAGACAGGACATTCTGATGATAATCTCGTGTCTCGTTTCGTAAAGTCTCGTCTTGATTATTTTCAAGTCAAGACAAGGCTTGTTCTGATATAATCAGGATGATATCAGGTTAATTGGAATGGGTACATGCTGAACACCCCTATATGTGACCTTAGAATTTCTGTAATGAATTTAGCTTTTGTCTATTTGTAAATGATGTAAGTTATTATACGATGCATATGTATCTTTTAAGTGGTGACAAGTGGTGATTATGCGAATGTTAGCCTTGTCTTTTGAATGTGTGGTCTATATGGTAAATTATGTGGCAATAGGCTAAGTGTTGTTATGAATGTGATGTAAATGTGTAAATAGTGATTATGTGGTGAATTTGTGAATCCTAACACAATCGTGGATTTAGGATTAGGATTGAATTATGGAAAAATGTGTATGAATGTGAATATGTTTGTAGTGATGATTTTGTGGCAAATGTATAAAGGATTGGCTAAGAAAGTGTTTTATGTTGTGATTGTGAAAAACAACCCCTTTGATTTGTAAATAGGCGAGTTGATAGCCAAATCTTGATATATGTACATATATGATGATATTATTGATCAATCAAGTATAAATGGTCTTTTTAGACTTTGTTCTAAGTCTAAAATAGCCTAATGAGACAAAGTGTATGATTTAAACACTTTAGTGTTTGAATTTTCAAAGAAAAATAACTTTTTACACCTGAGTGTCTAAATTTAGATCAGACTATTAGTTTATGAAATAAACTTTATGTGAGCGCTTGAATCACTCCAATTGAACGTCATATATGAAAACGATGCACGTTGAAAGTTCAGATTTATGAACTGTCATATGACAACAAAATATGTCATGTGTGCTACAGCACATGGTGTACATGCCTCAATGCATAGCATAGATAAGAAGCCCGTGGCCTTGTGCTGCATGCTGCCGCGTATGTGGCAGACACTACAAAGCACTGCCCTTGTTTTGGCATTATTTCTTTGACTTTAAATCATGTATTGAGTAAGATGAATGCAAGAAAACTATCTTTCATTGTGCATTATCTGATATGTGATTGATTTCAAAGAGTTTTATAATAAATCTTAGGCTCTCAAACATTTTAAATAATTCTTTTATTTTAGTTTGGTATGTGATGTAGTAATTATGTTAACCTCTTTTAATATTAGGTGAATATTATGAGAGGTTACAATAATAGTCAATGAATTTTAGTACTTATATCTAATTGATAAATAAAATTTGTAGAAAAAAGTAATCATTTTTTATTTTATTTTAATTAATAGCCCAATCAAAGTAGTCATTTCTTAATGGGTAATAATTACTAATTTTTAGTATTTGTATTTGACCAATAAACAAAATTTGCAACAAAAAAAGTATTCATTTTTTGTCTATTTTAGTCAATAGGCCAATAAAAGTAATAATTACCCAACAAATGGCAATCATCAAGGGTAAATATGTCCTTTTG